GGCCTCTTTTTTTGCCTTGTATACTGTATTTTTACATTATTTTTAAATAAAAGCAGAATATAATCACATAATTCACAGAACATAAAAGATAACAAATGTAATGCTTGAAACAAACACAACATTCTGCAAGACAATATGATGTATTCTTAGTGAGATAACCAATTTAGTCCATGGTGTGGACTTTTCTTGTGCAAATGTTATTCTCACTTTAAAATCTGTCCTAAGAGAGGGAGAGTCATAAAAAGTCAGAGTATTAGATGAGTAAGTAACCTACTATCTTCCTGTAATAATCATCTCTACTTGCTGCTTACTAAACAGACATTCAAAAAATAAACAAATAAAATGCAGTACATAAGGGGTTTCCTTGTTAGTTCAGTACTGTGATTAACCGTTAAATGATAATATAGCAAGACAGAAAGAAATTAAAGAAATTTTTTTCTCTCTTGTGCACCTATGTTCATAAGTAATAATGCTAATATTTTCACATCTATTTTCAACTACTACAGAGGGAATACATACTTCTAAGTTGGAGAGATAATTTATAAAGGGTTTTGCTAATGCTTTCCCTCTGAATGAAGAAATCCAGCCATAGTGAAATTATTTCTGGTTCAGGTTGTCTTTCAGTGCCCTTGACAACTGTAGGGTTTGAGAGAGAGAGATTTAGAGAGAGAGAGGCTGCTTTCTGTGCTTGGCTAAATGTGTTTCTCTTTGTCAAGTCTTTTTTTTTTTTTTTTCTTTAACTTTTCCTCAACATAATAGGTGCCCAGCAGTTCTTTTCATCTAACCTCTAGCAGCAGCAATGTCACTGATCTCACCATTTTCTATGTTCACATATCCAGTCAGAAGCATGATGGGTAGAAGGGGAAATGGGAACATGGGTTGTAAAGGGCTGATTATAGTAGGGACCCACTACCAGGGGTAATTTTGTACAAGGAAATATTTCTGCAGTATCATTTTATATTTTGTTATTCTAGTGTTATTTGCTAAAATTGTCTTTCGGTTTTATTCATTCAGCTGTAGCAAGTGATCAGAACAGCAGGAACAACTCTGGTGTCTTGGCACATAGCAAAGGGCAGATCTGGGCCACCTGACATATCCTAATCTTGTTACTAAAAACTGACCTTTCTATATGAATAAAAAAATTGATCGACCTCACAGCTCCATTTTCTATTCTCCTTGAAAGCCCAGATGTTCGCCTCCACAAGAACAAAAGGAATAAAGTCTGGGTGAAATGTGTTTCTGAGGTTGAAGGATAGTCAATGATCCACTGACCAAGACAGCAAAAGGGAAGGCAAATATATATAGTGTTTGGTGTCAACATTAAAACAACTCCAAGATTTTTCATTTGTGTGTTTTCTAATAATTTCCTGATTGCTCTAACTAAAATCTGAGACACATATACATGCTAAAATCTGAGATTGACTAAGCCCTGTGTTTCTTTCCATTATCTCTAAAAGAGTTCCAGATAATGTCGTAATTTGAGCCTAGTTGGCATCTAAACGCCATGCAGCTGCTCACCCACCCTCCCCCAACTTGGGAATGGGGAGGGAATCGGAGGGGCAAAGGGAGACTCACGGGTTGAGATAAAAACAGTTTAATAACAGTAACAGAACAATAAACTGACAGCAGTATCAGCGGGTAATGTACAATACAGCTGCTCACCTCCTGGCCGTCAATCCCAAACACAAAGGCCCCACAGCCACACTCCCAGAAGTGAGAGCCCCTCCCAGCCCACTCCTGCCTTTATATAGTGAGCACAATGTCACATGACATGGGATATTGGCCAATCGGGGCCCATCCCTCCAGCTGTGCTCCCCCCGCCCCCGCACACAGGTGAGGGCACTGGGGCCTGGGGAGCCCCTGGGGTCTCAGGGGGCTGCAGCTCCTCCTGCTGCCAGACCCACGGGAGCTCTAGGCCAGCCCCAACCAGGACAGATAACTACATCAGATGTTGATGCCTAAATTGTAGATTCATACACTTAAGTGAGATTAACCCCCCATCTACTGAGCTCAAAATTGTTGGTAGGAACAGTCCATTCACCTGCTGTGAATCACAGGACCATATCCACAGTGAACGAAGTGTTCTGGGGTGTGGCCTTCTGTTCAGACTATCCCACTCATGAAAAGTGCTTCAAGTGCTGAGCATTTTCAGGTTATTTTTGTGACATAAGGGCCAGACCCCATGATGAGCACATGTAAAGTTCTGTGGTAGATGACACAGTGTCTTTTGCTTTTGACTTTTTCCTGAGTATTTTATGTTGTGTTCCTCCATTCTGGCTGCTCTGGTTGCACAAAAGCATCTGAATAGGCTTAGGGCAAAAGGCTTCCAGCACTGGCTGAATAGAGAGCTGGGAGACACTCAGCAAGACAGGGAGAGGTACTCCAAAAAACCAAACTGACGTAATAAGGGAAAGTTTTCCTATGGACTAAGGGGAGACCTTTTAACTCTCTATGACTACCTGAAAGGAGGTTGTAGTGACGTGGGTGTTGGTCTCTTCTCCCAAGTAACAAGTGATAGGACAAGAGGAAAAGTCATCAAATTGTGCCAGGAGAGGTTTAGATTGGGTATTAGGAAAAATTCCTTTACTGAAAGGGTTATCAAGCACTGGAACAGGCTGCAGAGGGAAACGGTTGAGTCACCATCCCTGGAGGTATTTAAAAGATTTAGATGCAGATGTGGCACTTAAAGACATTGTTTGGTGGTGGACTTGACAGTGTTAGGTTGACAGGTGGACTGGATTACCTTAAAGATCTTTTCCAACCTAAATGATTCTATGGTTCTATGACTAGTTGCAACTAGAAAACAATTTTACACTAAGTAAACTAAGTCAGAAAGTTTAACCTTTCAAATGATAGCAACAGTTCCTCACCTATGCTCTTTATTCTGGAAGGTTTGCTAGCATGGAAAACTTCACATTGGGAATATTGTTTCATAAGGTCTAATAACTGTTGAAGTTCACATCTCTTTTCCTTTATCCTCTTTTTTAATTTCACTTCCTTAAGGTCTATCAAGATGATAGAACAACACCCATCAAACAAAACTTTTGACAAATCTCGGCTTATTTTATCCGAGTATTTGTCTGCGGGATGTTCATGGTATAGGTTTGTGGGACTGTAGATTGAGGTGCAGAGAGGTGGTGGCAAAATTTGATTTAAAATAACAAATAACAGCAAAAAAGGACTCCTTTTATGCCATGATTTTTCTCTGTGAATTAGAAAACTCTCTTTTGATGAGAGAGGAGCAAAGTGGATGTACTCAGTTGAAACTGACCTCAATAATTAATTTTGAGGCCATCCATCAAATAGTATGTTACTGACGGGGGAATCAGCAGGTGCTCCCAGTTTTCTTCTTGTGTCAGAGTTATTCATGCTGCAGAATCCAGTTACAGTTGTCTTTAATTGGCTGTTACGTTTAAAGTATCTTATGTAGGGATTCTGAAATTCAAGTAAGCATAAGCAAATTTACTCTTTCTGTTGCTGTGGAAGCAATCTTTTAAATCCAGACAGTGGGTGGGATGTCCAAGAGAATTTGAACAGCTTTGAACCTCACTGCACTTGCCCATGTAAATAAAAACTTGAACATTGGTAGTTTTCTGTGCAGCATCTATTCCATTCACTCCACTGCTGTCTAAGAAAGAAAACCAGGTATCTTCTACCCTCTAATTTTTCATTAGAAAAGTTTCAGCAGCGTTATAAGACTTTAAGAACCGGTATTCTACTTAGGACACTTATTTCTAAAAATATTGTTGGATACAGTGTACTCTTTGCTGAATGGACAGGCACAGTGAAACTGTAATTTTTCATGATGGTTTGTGGTACCTGGACCAGAGTCGTCAGGTTCAGATTCGGTTCCAATATCCACTTTTAGATACACAAGACACTGTCAAGTTTGTGACATTTCTCATATCCCTGGAAAATTTGGCTTCTCTGTCAAAGGTTTACAGTAATGCTAACTTCACAGTGATATCCCTCTTGTCTTCTTCACTGAAGGTGAATGATATTACTGAACTGATGAGGAAATCTCTCCAATTTTTGAAATACCTTTGTGTTTTGGACATGACTGAGACTTTCCTTACTTTTAAAAGGTTTGGAAAGAGGTTGTGGTAGTGTAGCTGACAGTTCATCCATATCAGAGATTGTAATGATGAGACATCTTTCAGCAGGCATTATAAATGGATATCTGGCATTGAGAGTGTCTTTACGGTTTGAGCATGTTTATCCTTGTGGTTCTGGAAACCAGACCACTAGGTGGATTATATTGCTGTATATAAATTGTATTCCAGCATGTTTTATAAATCAGGTGGCTTAATCAGATGAAGACAAATGGAAACGAAATAGCTTAAATACAAATTTACTGCCAGGTAGACATTATACAGCGCCATATTTTACTTTTACTGGATTTTCTGATTTAGCTGGCAGTAAATTCAGTCATCTGCCACTTAGAGACATGGGTCAAATTGTCTTTCAGTCCAATCTGTGTGGTCCTTTCAGATTCAACATGAATGGGGGTTTTGCCATCTAACAAGGACTGACATCTTATTTAACAAGCTATAGAACATCTTTCACTTTGTTAAAGGAGAACTTGGCATGCTTAGGGAGAAATACAAAAATCCTTGCCCTGGTCTGGCTGCAGGTGTATTCAGCACCAGTTAAAACCACAGCACAATTAAGTCTGTTCTAACTTATTTTGGAAAATCTGTGAAGGTCTGTTGGGAAGAGTGACACCAGCAGGGAGAAGGGTGGTCACAGTTACAAGCCTTCCCCAAATACACTGTGTTTCTGACCTGAGATGTCAAGAGTCTTCCATGAAGAGCATAGACACAGTGGCTACATCAGCACCATGGAGTTACATAGGCTTAGCAGGGTGGGTGGCGTTGCAGGTGTTGATTGTATCACCGGAAGATTTGTCGAAGCACCACAGGTTCAGATTCTATCTAAAAAAAGACCAAAGCACACCAGGTGGTATTATGGGCAGATATCACATCCTGGCACACAGTCATGATGCAGCCATGGTACCTGGAAGCACTGCAGCTTCAGGGTGATGCATGGAGTGGATAGAGGAAGCAGTTGCTCCTTCCCATGCCCTCCAAATCCATTTAATATAAAATCTTCAAGCTGAGGATGTATCAGATATTAAAGTGATAAGAAAAGATGATGCACTTGATCTTAGCTGACGGCTGGGAAGTGTGCATCTGGGACAGGGGCTTCAGTACATACTGCAGAGCACTTCCATCCCACTGAGGATGATATTGGATCAGTGCTTTCAAGGACTGTTGACAGATCTAAACCATAACCCATAAATGAGTGATTTCTACACTTGAGAAAGTGAGAACTGTAAATCAAGACAATTACAGTAGCTTGTAGTGATAATTGAAACTGTTGGTTTTTAAATTGATATAGCAAAATATCTGAGCAAAAGAAAACAATCCTAGGCTTTATTTTTTCCCAGTTTAATATCTCCTTTTAATTTTCATATTTATATATCTGCTGCCTTTTAGATCCTAGTCAGTCCAACACAGAATGCGTTTTCTTGCTCAGTTTTGGATAAAGAAAATAAAATTAAACAGTAGCTTACCTGCTGAGAATTTATGAGGAACAAATTATTAAATGGAATGTTTTCATATGCCTGTAGACCCTACTTCTGTTTTGTACATCAACCTAAAAGTAATGGTAGATTAAATGAAGCTTTAATAGAAAATTTCATATTTAGTCAATCTCAACATAGAAGGAAAAAACAAATCTGATTGTCAGAAGCATTTTTATACTGTAGGTTTTGATCTGCTTCCTGTTCTTCAAGTGTGAACAAATAACCAGTTTAAGCTCAACAAATTTTCTTTCATTGAGTATTTGCTTATTTCAAACCAATGCTACAATGCCCTTACTATCCATTAGACTATTTTCCAAAAATTATAGTACCTAGCTATAATTTTATCATACTAGGTATAATAGATGCATTTTGCTGCTGCAGTTCACCCTTCTGTTAACTATCAGGGAACAAACCAATGCATCTAATTTTACTATATATGTACACGATTTTAGCTTTCGTATGCTTATGTGGACATGAGTGTGAAGCAGGTAGAAAGATGGATCTTTTACAGAGAACCAGTTTGTTTTAATACAATCCAATAAAACATTCTCAGGGAAATTAAATACTTGGCTTCATATCATATAGTCATCCAGTGCTAGTATTTTGACCCATGTTTTTCTTTAGCGCACAACTCAGAAAAAAAACACTGAGACTAATCCCTCTTCTTACTGTAGAGACATTAATTTCCCATTAATCTCCATTAATTGTGAAATAAATATTCTCAACCTAATCACCTTCCTATGTTTCTCTTATAGTGACTTGGAATTAGTACATGAAGACACTAGTGAGGATGCCTCTGTTGTTACATTTTGTGTCTATAGGAAATGAGTTATCAGGAAGGGATTTAAAAGGAAATAAAAGAAAATAAAAGAGAATAAAATAATGCTTAAATGATGGGATGAAGATGCAAATGTACTTTCTACTATGCAGTTCCAAAAGCTGCAAGTGCAATACTCAGCAGTAATGTGGGCACACATCCCATAAACAGGTCATTCCAGACCATAGTCATCATCCCAAGGTGCACTTGAGCATCTGTTAAATATTTTATACATGGTATTTATATTTACAAGTAGTTTTGTGAAAATCTAACAGAAGCATTTGAAAGACCATAAAAGAGGAAATGTTAACATGGAGCTATAAGGTGATCTCACATGATTTGGGCCCACGTAATGCAGTGGGCATTTATGGATCTTATAAATAGATGGTGAGCTATTTATAAACATCCCTCTGCTTCCGTGCTACCCCAAATATATTACCAAGACATTGTGTATTGTATTGAGGAGCCTGTGGTTAATTATTAAAACCCAGCAATGTATCTGACTAGACCCTTACTGGGATACCTTAAAGATCTGACACCCTTCTTCACTTCAGAAGTCAGGAAAATAGTTTAAGATGTTCTCTTTCAATCTCTGTACTTGCATATGATCCACACAAACTTTGTTTTACTGTCCTGTCTATTGTGTTCCATCTTGTGCTTTATTAACATCATGAAATTAAGCAGGAACATAAGCAAAATATTATACTCTGTTGTGTCCCAGAAAACCAACATCTTGTCTTCTACTGGGCTGGAGGGTCTTCAGCAGTCAGTCTTTAAAGCACACTTTGCATTCCGTGATGAATTAATGTCTGTATTTTTATACCCATCTTGTCTCTGACAAGGTATGACCAATTTATTGCTAATAATCAGATTTAATGTTTCACTTCAAAACCCAGCACTCTGTGTTATTTGGCCTTTTGAATTTCATGGAGGAAGACCAAGAATATGGGCAACTTGAAAAATAATATTTTGTTTCTATGGAGATTCCTCTGTTTTGTTTTTTTTTTTCAAATAGCCCAGGGTTACTTATGGGATTTTACCATTTGAACTCACTTGAAAAATGTTCAGTGTAGGAATCTTGGAGTTGCCTACTTTTCTACCCCTAAAATTGTATTTCTCTCTCTAGTAGAATACTCTCCTTTTAGTACTAGTCCACGCAGTCCCTACCCTTTAGTCACTGCCAATATACAGCCCCCTTACTTTCTGTGTCTAAGAGATTGCCATTGGCAACAAATTCAGATAGTGATCACCTTACTATAAAATTTAGAGTGTCTTTTGCATCATGACTCCATCCGTGTTTCTTAGATCAGGAAAGAGCTTGAACATGTTCGGTCAATGTGTTGTCACTTGTCACCTCATATTATTGCATAATTTATCATTGACCAAGATGGCCAATATTATGTATGCATTTATTTCTTTCTCATCAGGGCTAGTGTGTTCTTGCTGACACCACACAACTAAGACATCCCACAGCCCTCTGCACCACTCAGAACTTCATGTCCTTTTTAAGTTGGTAAAACAATTCACAGGTCAGTGAACAGTCAAGACGACTTACTTGTGAGTACTTGTGAGTACTTACAAGTGACCAGAACAGTTTTGCTGCTCCATCTCTATATTTGAGAGAAACTGATTTTCTTCTCAGGTGTTTTTTCTGTTTTGCACTATGAATCACAGATAGGCAGTCAGCAAGACCTCTCTCAGGTATGTAGTCTTCGTTTCAAGCTTCTTGGGTGTTGTAAATAGGACTGACTTTGACCATTTTTCACATCATTTTCTTATCCAGATACTGCTGCACAACATGTCTAACTGCTCAATTTGATCATTATCTCCTGCTGTGGCAGTTCTCTTTTTCTATCTCAACCCTTTCTCAGAGTTTTCCATCCTGCTTATCTGGGGACTTGATTTCCAGATTATCAAGGACCTCCCCTTCTATTTTTGATTTGTACCTGGGCAATACTCAACCTACTTCTCTGCAACAGTTTTGTTCCTCCCAGTGAGAACAAAGCCACTTTTGCTTGATTATGCAGAGCTTAGTCTGGCTTTTTTTCCTCATCATTCTTTCTGAATGCTTCTTTTGACTTGGCTTTTCTTCTGACTATTCTACAAGGCAACTGCACATCATTGTTCAGTAACATCCTCCTGCTTTTCCAGTTGGAAAAAACAGTGGATTCTTCTTGTTCAACTTTAAACATATTCATGAAAATACTTGCACATGGATTAGTCATTATAGCACCATGAGAGACAGTAATAAGTACCTATTTTAGATGCCTATTTTTCGGTTGAAGTTAATCTGTTTTTTAAAGGGAGCATAGGTCAGATTTTGAAATCTGTGTCTAGTTGAGCAAATCATACTAAGGACCTCTTCTGAAGTGCTGGACTTTATGGATTTTCTTTTTCCTCCCCAAATTATTGGAAGTAGCCAGTTTCAGGGGGTTGCTGAGCCTGTTGCTTTCAATCATGTCCTATTCTATTTTCAGCCCTGGAAAATTTAGCACATGCTTTCCTCTTAAACCAAGGGCTTCTTATCTGGTGGAGGTCATAGACATTTCTACACAAGGCTGGAAGAAACGAGCACTCTCCCTTTAAGTGAGATGCAGTGTGTTTTCTTCTCTGGGAAGAAAGCAGGGGAACTACATTTTATTAGACAGTGTCTGAAAGTTTATGTTCCAGAAGAGATGGTGGGATTTGAAAAGCGTAACAGCTGTGAGATTCCTTCCTTTTTTCTGTGTAACAGAAAACTTCTCATCTCCTGGGAGTGGAACGAAGAAATTATTTCAAAGATTTTTCACCTTAGTTTTGCCCTTGAAATGCTGGGGAAATGACAGATGGGATCCATACCTGAAGTTCTATTTAATGTGGGCTTACTCTAATAATAGATAAGAAAGATAAATATTTTTCCAGAAAATCTTCAGGGCAGATTTTTCAGCTCAGTAATATCTCATGGGATGTAAACCCCCATATCTTGGAGTATTTTCTCAGTTTGCACTATTTTCAGACTAAGAAATTCTTGGTTTAATCATATTTATAATCAAATAACATTTTTCCACAGTTTGTTTGAAATTGATTATGTCTCTGACAGGTGAAATGGTATTTAAGAAGAACATTTTAATAATTACATTTGAGCATTCAAACATTTTATTTTGTAAAAAACATAAATTGTAAAAAAAAAAAATGCTCTAAAGCATCACACAGAAGTGATTCAAGAGATTAAAAAAACAGCTTTACATAAAATATCCTTGTGACTGCAGATTTTCTAGTGGTTTTCTAAATTTGGATTTTCTCTATTCAGATAATCTCATAAGTAATTTTCCTATTTTCCTAAAAATAGGAGAAGCTGTTATTCTCCTCTGTAAATAGAGGTTCAGTCTCACCCAAGTAAACATCTGAACATTTTGTCCTTGTGTTTTTTTGCCCTTGACTTCTGTGGGGAAATTATGAAATTCCACAATTCATTTCTCCAATGATTTATTATTTGATGTACAACCTCCTGATTTAATCAGTTAGAGAGCTGCAGTCCTTATTATCCCATATCCAGTTTCAGAATTGCATGTTATGATAATTTAGGTAAATCACAGATGAGAGAGATACTTATAAGCAACGTTGAAAAATTCGGGTGCATAATTTTTAAGGTTTTATCCATCTAAATACCTTTAAAAATTGCTTGAGATGTCTCATTTTTTCATCTGTAAAATGAAGGAACAGTATTTGTCCACTTTCCAGAACTATACACATATCAGAGCACATATAGACATACTGACATAACCAAATAAGTATGAAAATGCCTC